TAATTGATAAACTGTTTGCTCCTATTAACAAGTCTTTATACCACTGTTAATAGTAAATAAGCCTCTTTCATAATTGAGTTTCTTATTTGTTGTATTCTTTAATAATTGATAAACTGTTTGCTCCTATTAACAAGTCTTTATACCACTGTTAATAGTAAATAAGCCTCTTTCATAATTGATTATACTTAATTCCTTCTACATATAAACTCTTATACTATGATTATTTTATTTGAGATTAGTAATTCTTATAGTTATACTTAGTTTTATTTATTAGTTATAGTATTATTTTATTCCATTATCTTTGTAAATGGTAGAAGGTTTACATAGATAACAACATGTTTCCAAAATTGATTTTGGATTTTTGAAGGATTTCAACTTTTTAAAAATTATGCAGAATCTATTCTATATATGGAAGTAAAAAAAAATCCAGTTATGTGTATATTCAATTAAAGAATAAATCTGGGTGGTCAAAAAATTTCAGATTTTTAAGTAAAATAATTTCATCTTCTATGAAAAACAATTTTGACTTTTTTTTCCAAAATTGTAATTTCATGATTCCAAAATAATTTTGCGTACAAGTATAGAGTGTATTATTATCTAGATGACAGATTATTTATCTTTATGTGAAGTATTTCATCCTTATATATTATCTTTCATCCTTGTGTGTTATACGTGTTGCCCAAATCCCAAATTACTAGTATTTGGGATTTGGGATTTGGGATTTCAGCATTTGGGATTTTGGCATTTGGATTTTGAATTTGGGTGGCATGTATATTGTGTGTCATCTTTAAAAATAGAAAAAATGTGTTTTGATGTGACAACAAAGAGATGAAGGGAAACAAGTTTGAAAATGTATAAAATAACTGGTAATTTAGGATGTGAAAAATGATTGACTTGTGATTTTTATAATTTTTGATTTCTTTTTATATTTCAAATAATTACAAAAATCTTTCACATAATTTGTAATAATATAATAATAATCTTTTGGTACATATTTTCATAATAAAATTTAAAAATAAAGATAGAAACATATTGTAACAATTTAGCAGCAAGGTTAAGATACACCAAAGCAGTGATATATTTTTGTTATTACATCTTTACAATAAGTTTAATAATTTCAGCATACTCTGTAATAATTTGATACTGTATATCTTAAAAATATTTTATTTTGTGACATTGGTAATATTGGTGAGAAATGGTTAACAGCCCATAATACCTCTATTACTAATTTTGTAATTTCTTGAATAAAGTTACTGTATAAAGTCTGAAACTAAGATTCAAAAGTTTGTGTAGTGAGCTGTAAAAAGATACTTTTACTTCACTTACTTATGTACCTTCAAATTGCACCTGTATGTACTGAGTTAAAGTTTATTTTATATATCTATTCGTTGCAAGTAGACAAGTGACTGCTTAATCCTACTGGCAGATAGTGGACATTACAAAATATTGTGTACAAGAGTATGTTGAGTTAGTATGAAAAGGGGTATGACGAGAGTTCAATTTAGTGGAACTGATTGATGTAACTTTACTCCTTGTTCTGGGCAGACCACCACAGTACTTTGTCCATATTTTAAGGTGTAACTTAATTTTATTGGTTAAAAACTAACATGCAATTTACATGACTTAATAATGTGATCATAAAATTGAAAATTCATTGGTCAACCAAATTATGTAATTGCTGGGATCTGTATGTTTTTGAAAAAATAATTTATTTTAGTAGGCTAATTCACTGACCAGACTAAATTAAAAACAGTGATAAACAAAGATAAAGAAAGTATATCTTTGAATAAAGTAATAAAAATTCACCTTCAAATTGTGATAAAAATTCATCTTTATGAAAATTTAGGTGAAAAATGAAAATAGTTAATTATTTATTTAGTTATAATATTCATTAAATTGATTTTGGTCATTTGATTCTATATTTGAAAGTGAATATTAGATTTATCAGATTCTTTTGCAAAAATTCAAAAACAAGTAATCAAAGTTCTGATAATGATTAGATTAATAAGGATATTGAAATATATTTTGATGAAATAGAGAAAATGTAATATAGGTGTTTAATATTATTTCAAATATTTGTTTTCATGTTAATATATTATAAAAAAACTATATTATTTAGTTAATGAAAATATAAATTTTTTGATGAAATGATAATAAAAGTTATTGCAATCAATTTAATTATATATTTCACTAAACAATGGAAACTATAGAATGTAGTTCAATATTAATATATACACTTTATATTATTTATATTGTTTTATTAAATATTCTTTTTATTATATTATTATATTTTATATATTTATATTGTATATTATAACATATAAGTTATTTATGAAACTGATAAACCTGAAGGTCATAAAATTATTTAAAATCTTATACCATAAAAAAAATTAATACCATAACTATTTATATGTTAATGATATCCAAAGTAGTTGTTTCATTTTTGACTTATGCTTGAATAAGTGCCATTCATTTGGTGGCATTTGTTAGATTTTCTTTGGATGAATTTAAAGATCATATCCTTGATAATTATTGATGATGCTATAAAAGATTGTCCTATTGTTAAACACATTTTTATATTTCGTCATATGGGATCTGATGTTCTTTTGGTTTTAACTCAAGATCTTTGGTGGTATGATAAAATTAAAAAGCAATGTCCTTATTGTCCACTTCAAATTGTTAATGGATTTACTCTTTATACTTTACTTCATACTACAGAAAATTATTTATTAAGTTCAACAGTTAGTTTTAAATATGTATTCAATTATCATGAAGGAGATATTTATGATTGTATGACAGATATTGGATGAATTACTGATCACACTTATTTATTTATGGTCCATTGGTGAATGGTATAACTACTGCATTATTTGAATTTATTCCTTTATATCCTTCCTATTAAGATATTAGGAAACAGTAAAAAAACATATAATTACTCAATCTTATACCGTACTTACTGCCATTCGATTATGAACATAGTTAAGAATATGTGAAAATTCATGATCTTTCAAGTTTAAGATTAATTAATACAGTGAGTGAACTGATTCAACCTGAAGTATGGGGATTGGTATAATAAGGTATAGGAAGAAAAGAATTTTCAATAGTTGATGCCTATTGGTAAATTTAAACTGAATCAACTATTATTACCCCATTATCTAGAGCTTTTCCTATCAAACCTTGTTTAGTTGTATATCCTTTCTTTGGTATTGATCCTGTTATATTAGATCCTATTAATGAAGAAGAAATTAAAGATACTGAAGCAGAATGTGTATTAAATATTTGTAAACCTTGATATTCAATTGCTTGTACAATATATAATTATCACAAAAGACATCTCAATACATATTTTTATCCATATCGTGGTTATTATTTTACAGGAATGGAGAAGGTAGAGATAAAGATGGTCATTATTAGATTTGAGGTCAAGTGGATGACATCGTTTTTTAGTTGCTGAATTGAGTCAGCAGCTTTACTTATTCATCTATTGGTAGTTGGATGATGATTTAATTGGTCAATGTGTACATACTTTTACCACTTTAAAAACTCACTGATGTAAAATATTTAACATTACAGGCGAAATTGTCATTTTATTTGTCCAAGGGTTTTTTTTAACTGTCCAAGATTCGTGTCCGCGCCGTCTTTAGCCTTAATTAGCTTATAAATATATATAAAACCTTTATAAGTATATGTAAAAATCAATTCTGAACAACTTTAATTAATAATCCAAAAGCAAATTCTATAATAAAATTTGCGTTATTTACGTTTTAAAAAATTTTTTGTTCAAGCACTGTCCAATATTGTCCGTGTACAATAATGATTACAGGTACATAAAGTGATTGGAACCTTCACCACTCCCAAAAGCGTTTATATTGCTAAAGAACTCGAAGTGGTAAAATTATGAGGATAATTTTAAGAAAAATTGTAGTGGATGAAACTGATCAACTTAGTGATTTAACCACTATACACTAGTCAAATACAAAGCTGTACCGAAATGTAATTTCTATATTATAGATTAGCTAAAAATCGGTAAAAAATCGACAGTCCTATTGCATCCTATATTATAAATAAGCTAAAATCGGAATTCCTTTTCGGTATGGCAATTCTTTTGTATTTGACCTGTGATATCGGATCCTACTTTGATTTCAAGATTAATTGACGATGTTAAAAATTCCAATTCAAAATGATTTCTTTAATTTTCTTTACATGAGGTATTATATCGATTTTTAATTTATTGGGAGAGAGTATATTAAATTATAAAAATAAAATAGTTATTATATATAACAAGATCTGTTCAAAATTTTAAAATGGTTACTTCGAGAGAAATATCATTTAATCTCTTCCAGTTTTCCTAATTTTCCTATTCCTCGAACTATAAAGATTGTATAAAGCAATTAAAAACCCGTTTCAAAAATGTATATTAATAGAATCAACTCAAATGGTGGTTGATGCTCGGCTAATCCCCTGATATTTTCGATTTTAATTTACATGTAATAATCTTTATTTTAGCAAATTTTCATCATAAATTCGTGTAACTTATGAGCATTTTTTTTAAAAACAAATTTTTAATTATGATATCTCGCTCAGTATTGTTCGTTGGTGTTAATCCCGGACCATTTTATGAAAGTGATTTCACAAACAATGAAATTATTATTAATTATGAGGATGTGACTTTACCAAAAAAATCTGATATTAGAATTAGTTATGTTGTCAGTCATGATACGCGTTCTTCCGCGTTAAGCACAATTAAGCAGTCTATTTTCAGTAGTCAAATGTGAGTCTATTTTCAAAATAAAAATTAAATTTTTTACTAAATTCATAAAAAAAGGATTTATCTCCAGCCGAATTATGAAGTGTTCCACCTGTAAAAAGTAAAATTATATAAACAAAATTTTTTAAGTTTTATAGGAAAATGTGGATTTGATGCATTTGAGAAAGCTTATCGAACACTTAATACAGAAAAATCTAAAATCTTTGGGTTACAACCTTTAAAAATATTTTGAGATGATAATAACAAGATCAATTTGTAAAAGGTGGAAAAGGTGAAAAATTTGTAACTCAATCAATTCAACAAAATTTTTTTGATACCTTCTACAACTTCTACAAGCAAGTGCTAAACAACTATCACAAATATATTTCTTTTGGTTAGTTTCTTTGCTAGTTCAATAATTTCATTTGTTTTTTTGGGAATATTGTTTTTTAAGAGCATTGTATTTTACTGAGAAATGAGTATCACACAGCAAGAGATAGCATAATCAAAAATTGAAAAATTAAATATTTCATTGAATTAAAAAAATTGGTTGATGATGAGTAAAAAACAATAAATACTGTAGTATAGAAATTTAACAAACCAATAGAATAAATGGAAATTAACTACAGTACAGAAAGATTATTGATATTAAAAAATATTGCATCCATCAATTACCTCATCCATCTTCGCATCCATCAACTACCTCATCTATTTTCTGTAAAAAACCCCACGGTCTTTACATAACAACTTTGTGTCATCAATCACCTCATACATCTCATACAACTTTTGCATCCATCACCTCATGATGTCAAAATGGCAAGAATAAGTTAATTTTATAATTTTAATAATAATAATAAATTTTTATTATTTTTAGGTAAAATCTTGAAGTTGATAAATGGGCTTCTTTTCATAATTGGTCTCCTGAATTTGAATATGTAATATTTTCTTATTTACGAGTTTGAAGAAACATTATCTGTACTTGCTTATGTTAGATAAACACAAAATGTTGATATTATTTAATGAATTTGGTCTAAAGGATTTATAGTTGTTTGTGCTATTGAGAATTGTGTAGGAATTTTTAAAATATGAGATAGATACTATATCATAAATAAAGAAGTTGCTAATTATAATTTATTCAATCCTGATGACGATTCTTGTATTGTTTGATTTTAGTTGACATACAAAAAAGCTCCTAAAAAAAACTCAAATAAATCTTGAGCAAAGGTTGGCCAAGTCGAATGATTATTGAACAAAAATTTTTTTTTCATTATAATGAAATAATTTTATAATTACTGTGCATAAAAAAGATTATTTGATCAATTACTTCATTTAGTAACCTATAGGTATCGTTATTCCTATTTTATTTAACCAATATATAGCTTTTTTAATATCTTGCATAGTTCCACATCCTTCACAAAGGTATTTCCCAACCATATATTGGTTAATAGAATCGTCATTTTCTGTAGCTTTTTATACCATTCAAATGCTTTCACTTTATCCGCAACAATTCCATAATAATATAATAATTTGTATAAGTGCCTTAGGATCTCCACATATGTATACCAAATTCATAACTCTTTCCAGTAGAATTCATTGTATTAACATTTCCAGTAAGAGCAGATTTTAATTTAAACCGGAGACCTTTTAACTGCTTCTTCTATTCCTATTCCATCTAAATGAAACTCACCAACATTGAACCGTGCTACAGAATTTCCTTTTTCAGAATACAATTCAAATGCATTTTCGTCACTTGCTTCAACACCAAGCCCATTGGCCATACAATTTGAAGTTATATGGAACCCTTCATCTGCAATTCTAGAACAGATCTGAAAAGGTTTTTCTTTTCAACACTTATACCATCAAAGTAAATTTGCAAGATGGAGAGCTCCTATTTCTTTGTTAATTTTGTGAAATTTCCTTAGTGAGAGATTTGAGAAGGTGTTCTTCATATGAATTCTTTCATTGGCAGCCAAAATAAAGAATTTAATACTGTCAACACTTTACTATACAAATAATCTAAAGAATAATATGTAAATTCGTACTGGTGTAAATTTCTTATGTTTAGTAGGAATTCCGGGCATACTCTATTTCATTTTCCTTTTGTAATAATATCATTTATCAAATTGATAATCTTTTTATTTGTTAATGTTGATGTTGTAATGATGATTTTGTTATTAATTTCTTTTCAAAAGGGGAAATATTATCATTAGAAATTTCCAAAGGATAAACTATAAATATCTAAACTTTTATTAAATAATTCTAAACATCTAAAATTGGTATAATAGCAGTAGTAAGGGATTTTAAAGAATTTATGTCAAAATAATTTAGTTTAATTGTCCCATTATGAACAAGAATACTTTTCGAAGTCTAATTCACATCATTAAAATTAAAATTAAAAATTTATCGTAAAAAAATTAAAATAGAAATTAATTTATTCATCAAAAAAATAATAATAGTAATAATAATTACCAAATTTCCAATTTCCATGAATAATATTACTAGAATATAAATTCATTTCAAATATCGGCGAAGAGAATCATTATTATTGGCATATTCATATAATTGTTGGCATTCTCTATAATAATAAAATAATTATTTAAGTCAAATCTATTTACATTATTTTACCTTGTTTAGTAATGCCTTCATTAATTTCCAATTTTCGATGTCTTTTAACCGAAGTAAATGAACAGTAAAAATAAATCCTAAAATAAAAAATAATTTACATCATTTATAAAAGTCATTCAAAGTAAATTTATTATTTAAAGAAACATATTTAAGAGCTACTACTTTGAAATATTTGGCTATTATTTATTGAGGAAATAAAAAAATAAATATGTAAAATAAATAAAACGAACTTTATATATAACGTATTACGCCAGCTACTCCAGCTAAGCCGCATAATACACAATATTTATATAATATAAAACATGAAATATGAACAATTCAATATTAATTAATGTAGTGGATCTTCGAAGAGTTGGAAAGAAAACTATTGTACAGTAAATATTATTATATTAATATTTTTAAAAAAAAATTTTTCTCTAATATCAATTATCATCTATCATTATCTAAAATGACACGATTATTGAATTATTAAAATAAGAGAAGATGAGAATAATGGTAGAAAATATTGATTATTTCACAAACGGATATAGAAATCAAATAAATTAAATCTATTATTGTTATAGTATTATATTTGATAATTAAATTTAATTGATAAACTCTCTTTTAACATAAGCCTGTTGTTTCTGTTGTTTCCATGATTATCTCTCTTTTTTGCAAATACAAGAAGGAAACATTATTTTCATTTTCAAAATAAATGTCATAGGTAATAAAATACGAGATACAAATTCTTAAAACCTCAAATATCATTAGGAGGATTGACTCTGACTGATCTACTTTCTTACTACTCCAATAAACAAGCCTAAAAATATGATACAAACAAACAATAATAATTCCTACAAGATTCCACACTTGAGAAAACCTAATTAAAGGTTTGATATTTATTCTAAGTTGGTACAATTGCTCAAGTTGTATCACTATTCCCGACAGGGCTGTGACAGAAAGTGCCATTGCAGGATATGAAGGAGCCGCATTTGAGAACCCATTTGATTGCAGTTCGTGATCAATTTCTTTTTTGCAACTTTTAAAATCTTCTGAATTAGTACAATTAACTTGGGAGAGTGTACTCAATAATAGACCCTAAAATTTAAAAATTAGAAAATTAGTCGAATATTTGCCAATCCATAAAAACAAATTATTAAAAATAAATATATAAATACCTCAGAAATCAAGTGAGCAATCAAGAAAACAGTAGTTAGACCAACTACTTTACGCCTAAGAAATATAGAAATTATTGAGTCCAAAAATCCGTTGCTATTCCTTGGATTAATACTCTCATAAATTTGATGTATTTTTAAAGTTAAAACAAAAGAGAGTAATACGCGATTTATCAATTGAATAATGTAAAATGCTACTGGATTCCCACTTTCCAGATTTATTAAAAGAAACCATACTGAACCAAGGCAGCAATATGAGTTATAGGAAAATTTAGTGAGCCAAAATATGCGGTCCCTCCAAAAAAAAGCTAGACAAAACAAAATATAAATAGTATTTTGTACAAAGATCTACAAGATAATTAGAATTAAGAGCAGAAATTATACAAAACAACATTTAATATATAATTAGAATTTAAGAGCAGAAATTATATAAAACAACATTTAATATATAATTAGAATTTAAGAGCAGAAATTATATAAAACAACATTTAATAATTACCAAAAATCCTCCCCCAAATGTGAAGACGCCGACGGTTGAATTGACCATTGATAAGAAATAGATGTGATTTTATATCAAAAAAATAAATGATATTTGTTTTTCAGAACAACTTAATTTACTCAAATGTCAAGAAATGAAGCTTTTGAATATTTTTTCATCTCTTTGTTTGTTCATTTTCGATATCTAAAGACATATAAAAATAATATTTCCTTTTTTAGAAGGCAAAATAGAATAGATAGTACTATTTTGTCTAACTATTATCCGATAATATCGTAACTGATATATAATATTTACATCTATTGGGTCACTGATATATATAATGTAACTATTTTTGGATTTCTGGTAATATTAGAAATGGATAATGATGAATGGATCCATACAAACGTACTATACAAACAATCCATACGTCATATGTATAATTTAACTGTGCTACATAAACAATCCATACGTATTATAATTTTAACTCACAATCCATAATCTTATTCATATTCTTCATCTCCCTCTATCTGTTGAAACTTAGGTGGAATAAGAATATATAAATATAGAATAATTATTATTATTAATTACCGACCCGCCTAAGTCGGCACTATCGTTATGGTAAAATTACATAGGTGCGAAATTTAACGTTTCGCACACAATTTCCCATAAACACACAAACACTATAATCGCAGAAACTTATTCATATCTTGTAAAAATCACACTATATAATGTAAAATAATCTAAGGAAAAGAATAAACTTAAAAATGGCATTTGAAAAAGGAGTTTACATTGCACGCCCGTCAGATTTGACTTCATTTTGTGTTTTTGCATGATTGATAAATACTAAAATAATTAAAACTATTAATTTGTCATAAAATTCATAGAATAAAAAAAAAAATAACTCATTTATTATGACAAAAAGAAAGTCTACACTGTGCAATTAAATTAAATAAAATATAAATATAAATATAATAATAAAGATAAGTGAGTTTTATGTGAAAGCGGGAAATTCTTTGTGCCAATCACATAATATACTTAAGGTAGTATAAAGACTATTACTAATAAGTAAATTTTATTAATATAAACCTAAACATCTCATAATACATAGGTCATTTAAAATCTAAAAATTTCTAAAGTTGGTAAGTCATGTGATAAAGTAATTACAAAACATTTATCGATCCTTTTCAGCATGGAATAATTGCAGAATTATAAAAGATTGTTCCATGAAATAATACTATTAATCTTATTCTTTTATTACTCTTCTTTATTCTTTGTAAGAGATTAATTAATGTTTGTTATTCAGTAAGCTATTTTTTATTATTATATTCTTTATTATAGACCGATTAAGATAAGAAAATTTATAAAAAAAACCATGATACGCATGCACAATTCCCGGCTTCTTATTAATGATTTTATTATTTCTGGCAGGGATTGATAATATTGAGGCGGCAAGAAAATAGCCGGAGTCACGGGGGATGATAGAGGATGATATGTGTCACTATTTGGTTAAATTATCCTTGTGTGTCATCCATCATCCTGGTACGAAAACTTTTTTTGGATGACAGAGGATGAAGGTAAACAAGAAGAAATATTATAAAAATAGCTGCGGTGAGGAAGAAAAAGAAAAAAGAGATTCCTTTTCGCCAAAAAGAACAAGAACCAAAATAAAAATATTTTACTTGATATTTCGAACAATTTTAATTTTAGTTTTTACTTAAATATTTTGAACATTTATTTTTAAATAGGATTATTTATTCAATGATATTTATTTTGATTATGTGACATATTAATAAAAAATTGAAAAATATTAAATTACATTTTGGGGAATTATTGTTATCAGAACCATTACATGACTAATAATAAATATTTGTACTCTGAATCTCACTCTCCTTATTGAACTGACATTATTTACAGAGGTGTCTTTTATCTAAAGTTGAGTTGTCAATAAATTTTTTCTTCCTTTTATTCTTTTTGAATAGTGCTTGCACCATCACCATCATCAAGAAATCCAACCATACCACCAAGAGAGGTGTGGGTGGCTTAGAAAAATGTAATTAGTGTATTTTTGAATTTTGAATAAATTTTATTAATTATAAATATTATTTATTTAAGAAATTATTAAGCACAATGTGGACAGCTACCAAAGAAAGGTCAAAAAGTAATGTTGGTAACAACCAATAAAGGGCATATTTTAATTTTAATTTTAAATGGTTATGATTATACATGTTCCCAAAACTAATTTTTGATTTTTGGGGTATTTCATCTTTTTGAGATTTACACAGAATCTATTCTATATATATGGAAGTAAAAAAATACCTAGTTGAGTGTAAAGTGTATCTTTAATCAAAGAATTTATCTGGGTAGTTAAAAATTTCGGGTTTTAAGTAAAATAATTTCGTCTTCTATGAAAAACTATTTTGACTCTTTTTCCCCAAAATTGCAATTTCAGGGCCCAAAATAATTTTGCGTGCAAGTATAGTTGTGATTTTAATTGATCTTTAATGATTATCATTCGTAATTTATTTTCTTTACTAATCTATAATTTTTTTTTTGCAAGATCGGTCGATTATTTTGTTTATAATGATGAAACATCCCAAGATAGCTCAGAACCAATAGGCATATTTTATTTTATTTTACTTTTCGACGCATATTTAAACATTCGACACACATTTTGATTTTTGACACATATTTAGACTTTCGACACATATTCAGACTTTTGACACATATTTAGACTTTGACACATATTTGGACTTTTGACATTTATTTAGGCTTTTGACATGCCTAAATGTCTAAAGTCGAAATATTTTGACAAGGGTGAAAACAATTTCGACTAACAACTTTATGAAGACTAAAATAATGATTATGTGGAATCATAAATTGTAATATTTTTAACATTATTTTCTAATATATTAATTTTTTATTTAAATTTTTATAGGATAATGAAAGTGAAGGTGGGGATGATAACTTGTCCCAGTTATATTGAACGATATATATACAGTATATATAAATTTATAACAAATTATAATTAATTTTATTGAACAGAAGACATATTATTTGCTTTGGTAATGATTCTTCGGTATGTTGTAAGTAAAATAATTAACTTCAAAATTTATTAAACTTTGTACCAGATTAATATTTGATGTATTTGGCAAAAAAAAAAGATATGTCACTCCACTCATTATGTGTATATGTATATTGTATTTTTGATTATCATTAAAAAAAATTAATTATTTAAAATAAATAAAGAATAAGAGGTTGATTATTCTTAGACAATAATTTTACATATAAAAATTGAGTTTTTTTTTTTTTGCGAGTTTCCTTTATATTTGTAAAAGACAACAACAATAACTATAATAATTAGAATTAATTATTAATTTAATATCGATTGAAATCAAATAATATAATATACAGTAATAATTTATAGTAATAATAATATTTATAATAATTTTAGTAACAATAATATTATTATTATTTATTATATCATCATTATTAAATAACCCATAAAATCATAATCTATATCATAACGCATCGTTATTATTTCTCCAAGTGATTCTTAGAATTATGGTGACGTAAAATTATAGTTACGACTATCAGGAAGTATAAATATTTATTAGGTTAGATAGATAAGATAACCTATTAATATCTTATTACTATTACCATTACTGCTATCATTATTATTACCATTACTGTACCATTACCTTTATTATTTTGGCTATCATTATTGTTAAATTTATCATTAAATAAAATATATGTTAATTAATTGAAATATTATCATTTTATTTTTTTATATAATTAATAATAAGAATAAATAGAAAATACGATTACTTTCTAATTCTATCATTCAAAGGAAATACAAAATTGAATTGATAATAATTTTATTGCATTAACTGTGTTTATGGTTGTTGTCGTCATCACATAATCAGTTATTTGATTGACAATATATCTGATGGTATTATTATTATTATTATTATTATCAGCTTTTCTTTACCAGTAAGAAAAATAAATAAATTTAACATTATAAATCTTTAATAACAAATTAATCAAATTCTTTGAATTAATAACTTTTTTTTAAATAATTGGATAATCTAAAGTTTTAGATTTATCTTACTGTTTTATTATTGCTATTGTTAAATGGTCTTTCTAATGATATGAATGTGTTAAGCAGTGATGTGAATTCTAAAAAAAAAAACAAAATAATTTTATATTATTATTTTTTAATTCAAATTGTTGTGTAAATTGAAATCATTGAAATTATAAAATATTTAGCATGTTCCACTTAAATAATGTGATAGATTATTTAGTAAATCGTTAGAAAAAATAAAAATTATTGATATCACTTTATTCTTAAAAGTATAAAGTCCCATTTTAGTAAGAAAAAATGTTATAAGTAATAGGAATAGGAAAACGTTATTTAAAATACCATATCTTGCGGGCGTAGTACCCCGGGTCTTTAACAAATTTTGAACTTTGTTCCTTATATCCGGGGTACTTTACATCGAAACAAAAAGAGCGTATTGTAAACAATCAATAGAAATTAACGTAAGGCAATATATTTTATACCATGTAAAATACCAGGATATTTTAAAAGACATTCAAAATTTTCAAAAGGGGTACTTTGCATCATTGGATGAAATAGATAAATGGCAATAGAAATACAAAAATGAAATACCAGAAAAATAAGATTATGATTAGAAAAAGAAAATCATTAGTAGAAAAGAAATGTCTACAAAAATGAAATATTAATAAAAATAGAGAATTGTTATCAGAAACAGAAATTTTTTAAAAAAAAGAAAGAAAATATCAAACAGAAAATATAAAATCGTTGTAAATTGAAAATGTTAGAAATAAATAAGGAATTAAATGGTAATAAATCATTAGCAGAAAAAGTAATTATTAGTAGGGATAGAAAATATGTTAATAAAGAATTTAGTTAAGAGAAAGTTTATGTTAGTAGAAAAATAAAAAAAAAAAAAAAAAAAAGATAAAATCGTTAGCCATAGAATAAAATAATGGTAGGAATGTTAGAAATAAATATTAGAATTAAAATTCTTAGCATTAATAAAAAGATTAGTAGAGAAAAAAAAATAAAAATCCGAAAATAACGAAAATAAAATTTGCTTGTCTAAATCCATTGATTTTGAATGTTTCGCAGCCCAATTATTTTCATTATTCAAATTCATTGTCAATTAAATAATTAAAATAATAGAATGAAATTTACTTATTTCATTCGTTTGTCCAAATCTTAAAATTTCAGTTCAATCATTCTCTTGATTTTACAAAAAAAAACTTTAACTTTAAATGAAACAAAAGTAAATAACAAAGGTAAAATCTGTTATCTAAATCCAAATCTTATATATTATAATTTTGGCTCTTCAAATGTTTTGTAGTTACTTCTTTCAGGTATATCAAACTTAAAAAAGAATTTTCCCAGAAAAAATAGTTAATTTTTTATTACATTAATCAACTAAATTCTTTCACTATCATTTTTCCAATTCTCGATCTTCCAAATGTTTTGTACATAGACCTATTTGATCTTTTTTTTTTTTTAAAAAAAAAAAAAAAATAACTTAACGATAATATTATTATAATTTCACCTAAGCATGAATTCTGATAAAATGTAACTTTTATTTTATCAGTATTATTATCTAAAGTAGTAGTGATAATATAATCTGTAATTATGATTATGTAATGATGATGATATAAATCGATAATGATTTAATAAAAAAAAATAAATAATAATAATGATTGCTGTTAATATTTATGAAATATCTATTTCTATTAATATCTTCACATTTTAATAAATTAGAATAAAATTCAATTTTCTTGAATAATTTTCAAACTCAAGATTCTTTATTTTTTTTATTTGGATTCCTTGACTTAGAACTAGCAATAGTAGATCCGGAAAAAGAGTTAAATTTGAAAAAAAATAAAGTAAATGACGAACTTTTTTTATGATATTTTGCTCACATAAACAAGATATCTAAAAAAACTATTGTTATATTACTTAGGATCTTTTTCTGGACTAATATAGGCCCAATATAATACAATAAGGCTCTTTCTCCATTGTCAGTGCTACAAAAATGTTGGTTTTGAATGTTCAACACAATAATAGTTTTGACAATGTTGACATTTAAGTGTAAGAAATCTTGTTTAAATTAATTTTTTTTTTTAATAAATGTCACAAGAGCTAAGAACTTTGTGTTACGCGTACAGTCCATTAATAAATGCTTTATTAACATTTTCTCAGTAATTCATTATATATGTAATGCGTATAAGCAATTATTGAGTAAAATTAGAAATTAGATTTTGGTTTAAATCCTTTGTTAGGTATTTTTCCAGCATAAATATAACAAAAAAAAGAATTTACACGAACTTCTACAGTATACTTCAGGTGAAATTTCTCCTAAAATCCAAATAAATTTATCTCTACTAAATTGGAAAGGTCTTTTGAATTCTTCATTTTGCCATTGCATACATACATTGGTGAACTAAATACTACTTTTGCTTTTTTTTTTGACGCTTTTTTTCAAATTTATTTTCATGAGTGCCATTAGAAAATAGCACTCTGGCTTGTCTGCACATTTGATGTTGTCATTATTCCGTCACTTGATGGTGGTCAGATGGCTCAAAGACAACATCGGAAGATTAGCAATAGAACTATACGGAAAATGATGTCATGGACTCATGGGAGATTTCGGAAAAGGCTAATTTCAAAGGCAGAAGAATTTGGAAAAGAGGTTAAGGTAGTCGGGAAGGCATATACAAAGTAAAACATGTAGTCGCTGGGGACGGATACACCAAAATTTGGGATGGAAGAAAAGTTTTTAAGGGTGGAGAATGCGGTTAAATGACGCCCGTGGGGTCTTCTCCGGGTTTTGTTGGATGAGGCTATTCGTTTATAGGGTACAAGTTGACTAAGCTAAGTTCGACTGAAGCCATCCGGAATTAATGTTTACTGTAATAAACAAAATAGACAAAAGAAACTGTTTATACATCATAGTCAGTTCAGTAGATAGATATATATATATGTTGATATCGTTAATGTGTAAATATTGTATAATGTGCAAAATATTTGAACTTTATTAATAGTATTTAAAGATCATTAGCTAATATAGAATACTACTACTATTTACTAAAAAGAAAAGATTACACCAAATATTAGATATCATTAAATATCACTATTAAATATATATCATTCAATATATCACTATTAAATATCACCTAAATATTATTAATATAATATTACCTATTAAATATTAATTTGATAATCATATCTTTTATATATATATATATAAATTATAAATTTTTTTGAGTTTTTGAGATTTTTTTTTTTTTTTTTTGGGGATAATAATTCATATACAATTTTCAGTAATGAACTTTATTATTATTTTTTTTTAATTGTGTTTGAGTTAGGGTCTTTAAGAAAGTTATAACTGCCAAGGATACTCATAATTTCATCATTCATAGAGATATCATTATTATTTAAATATTCTGTTAATGTAGGTCTGGCGGCGGCGGTTGTAGTTCGAGTGTATAAAAATGTACTATCGATATTGACGATATTTTGACTCTTTGTAGTACTGGGTATAAATCGTTCAAGACTTTTCCTATACGGGTTAACATCTGGTGGTTTCCAATTGGGTGGAGGCGTAGATTTTACATTCTTCATCCATTCACTGTACGTTTTTGGAGCATTGTCCAACCAATTTGGAAGCACTTGGACAAAGTGAAAATCTCTACAATCGTAAAGCTTTTGTATCGTTTTACGATTATCATTTAAGCTATTAAAAGTTTGTTGTGCATTGCTTTTGTTCATCTGTTTAAGTAAATGAGTTTTGATTTGTTCGGTTATCGTTCTTTTCGTCGCTTGAAAAGGTTTCGCAATGATGTCAAGATTCTTGTCATTAGGATTATATTTAAAATCATATGAAGCTATTTTACCAATAAAATGGTATAACATGCATCCATAAAATAAGACAAAATCCCCAACTTGCATTATGTCCAAAGTCATCGAGTAAGCATCTTTAAGTTTTGGGAGACTTTAAAATAAATCAAATTAAATTAAATAAAATTAAATTAAATTAAATAAATAATTCATCATAGGATAGACAAATAAGCTTACTCGGATGCCCAATTTTGATCCTGACTAAATTAATATAAATTAATATAAATTAATATAAATTAATATAGAGTCAATTATCTAAGTGTATATATATATATATATGAAATTATATAATAATAACTTACTGATATTTAATGTATAATTTTTCATAATCTGCTTCTTTAAGATCTTTAATATTGTGATTTCTACCATCAACGAATCCGTTAGCAAACAATTGAACCAAAACGAATGTAATATCTTCAAGTGCACTTATAGTATTATTAAGATGTTCTTTATATATCTCTAGCTCTCTATCATGATAACGAAAACCTAATAGCTGTTCAATGACTTTAGCTTTAGAAGTAGCTATTAGCGCTTGATAAAAGAATTCTCTATATACTGGAATCCATTGTTTTTTTCCTTCATTTTCTTTCATTAATTCACCAATTTTCATCATAATATTATTCAAATAATCGGCTATCTGTTGGCAACCGTAAAGGTCTTTTTGTTTTCTATAGGCGTCATTTTGCAAATATTCGGGGAGTTTAGGCAACGAATATCGGCTTACATTTAAAAAATATTGAAAGGAATTTAAATAATCATGGGGATTTTTAAAAAAAGATTTGAGCGTCCCATCTTTCATAGGTCGTAACGCTTTATCTGTCATTTCATTAATTGTCATATGAAGCACTTGATGTAACTTTCCTAAACGATCGGATTCAGAAAACGCTCCAGGGTTCTTTGAAATTGACTTATCCATAATTAATTTTCTTTACTGATTAACTTTCTCATATATCAAACTTAATTTCTTTTTTCGTTTTTGTTTTAAGAAAGTTGGGTTGAGAAAGTTTAACGTGCGGTATATTTATACAATATTTAACAATTATTATTAAAACTTTCTATTATGTATTGAGAAATCCCGAAATTATTCGAACTTAGTTATATTAAATTCATTACTATTATTCTTCCTCTTCAGGAAAATTAGTCAAAGATTTTTTTTACATTGTATTATGACTTCTTTTATGTTTTAAATATAATATTTTCTTATTAACTTTATGTCAACAATAAAAAATAATGCTTTTATATTGATTCTGCAGTAATTGGGCGAACTATTATTATTTTTAATACATAATCTAAAAACAATATTAACGATATTAAGATTAGGATTTTTTTTTTTTAATATTGTTAAAACTGATGCAGACAAGAAAAACAGTTAAGAGAATAAACGAACAAGAGAGAAATATAAAGTATAACAAAAACTGAAGAAATTGTCAAAAAATATTTTTGATCCAATTAGAATTTTAGTATTATTATTGCTATAAAATCTTAATATTATTGCATTGTATTAGCATTTTTTTTTTGGAAAAGTGAACAAGAGAAGCAAGAGAAAAAAATATAAAGAATAAAAAAAAACCAACGAAATCGAGAAATAATCTATTCAGAATTTTAGTATTATAATTTTAATATTGTTGTATTATTTAGCATTTTTTTTTTTGAAAAAGTGAAAGAAAACATGAGAACAAGAGAAATACGAAGAATGGAAAAAAACGAAATCTAGAAATAATCTAATTGGAATATTATTATAAAATTTTAATATTATTGAATTGTATTAAAAAAATTTTTTTTGAGAAAGTGGACAAGAGAAGAAAACAATAATTAAAAAAAGAAAAAATTGAAGAATTCTAGTATTATTATTATTATTTATTGGATCATATTTCAAAATATTTCGATAAAATCTTAATATTGTTGAATTGTATCAACTATCAACCAATTTTTTTTTTATCTAAGTAAAAAAATCATAAAAATTGTGCATTGTATTTCAAATATGTAATATGAGTAAATACATATATAAATATATACAATATATATTTTTTTCCGTAAAATCTGCAAAAATCTGTCTGTAAAACCTTAATTATTATTTCCGATTTTTATTTATATATATATTTTTTTTTATTTTAACTATAATTTTTATTTATTTATTGTTGTATTGTTTGAAATGTTTGAAATAGGAAATAATTCATATATATCTTCATATCTACATATCTTCACGTGAAATATTTCCAAAAGTTGAGAACAATTTGAAGTTTCCCTTTTGGGAATCCTTTATAATAATACACAACACAAAAAAAAAAAATGCTTTGAAAATAAATTTTATTATTTTTATTTTTATTTTTATTTTTTATTAAATATATACATACATACATATATACGTATATATATTTTATCATTTCACTTAATAAAAATCCAAATATAGAGAAAAAAGAAAAGAAAAAAAGCAATCATAAAAAACATTTCAAATAAAATCAGAAAAAAAATGAAATAAATATTTACAGAAAAAAAAAAGATAAAAAAGATAAGAAACGGAATAAGACAAGACAAGACAAGACAAGCAAAAGGCAAGCAACGAGACAAACAATAAAAAGATAAGGCATGACATACTATATAAATATCACTTTTTTAATATTTAACTATTTGTTATTATAACCTTATATGATATGTGACAAAGGAAAGTATTGCTACGCTATACCTTGACGTTATTATATATATATATATTGTCGATGTCAAAAAAAAATTTTTAATAGCATTTCGGAATTTTTGATGATTTCAAGTTTAAAAAGAAAAAAATAAAAAATGATCATAATTATTCGTGCATAAAATTTCCACCTCACATCCCCTCCCTCGAAATGAAACTTGAAAATGAACCAAAAAGAAAAGGAAAAGAAAGAAAAAGAAAAGAAAGATAAAGATAAAGAATGTCCATTTCACTCAAGAACTTTTATTTTTTTTTTTTGAATTGATTTTTTTTTGTTGTGAATTGATTTTTTTTTGTTGTGAATTGATATTTTTTGTTGTCAATGGATATTTTTTGCTGGGATGAATAATCTTATTGTGTAAAATTTTTTTTTTATTGTGTATAATTTTTTTATTTTTTTATTGTGCAATGAGTGGGATGATAAATTTGTTTGTTATATGATTTTTTCCAATTTTTCCAATTTCTTCCATAATTCTTTAGCAATTTTTATTGATTGTAGTTGTTTCTAGATGAAGGATCGACGATATTATTATTGTTGTTGTTTTTATTATTACTAGCGTAAGTCCGTGCCTCCGCACGGGGATTTTTTTGTAATTTATTTTTTTTCTTCTTTACTATTCTAATTATTGTTTTTATCTTATTTACATATGAATCCATCTGTTTTTGATTTGTTACTATTTGATTTTGCGTTAGAGGGTTTCAGTTCAGTCGTAGGAGATCACCTGTTACCTTTACTACTCGAAGAACGTAATTGTTACAAAAATCACGTTGCAAAATTTAAAAATGGAATCACGGAATTTGAAACCCACTCATCAAAAGTCTTTTAAAGGCGACAACAAGCGATTTACTAATAGTAAAAGTAGAGATTGATATTTTTATCGTTATTATTTTCCGGTACGTTTATATAGTATCACCACATGTTGTAGCCGAAGAAGCTAAGTTTGAAGTGAAGGTGGAGTTGTTGTAGAAGGTAAAGTTGATGAAGGCGGAGTTGGTGAAGGTAGAGTTGGTGAAGGCGGAATCGATGTAGTAGCTGGACGATGGGTTAAAATAAATTTACGTATTTGAGCTACTCGATGAAGTGCACGATTATGAGAAACTGGATGAAGCCGGTTATATGAATGAAACATTGGTATTGGTGTTTCAGTAGTATCCATAATATTATTCTTGTTAGAATTAGATGACGAAGACAACGACGACGACGATGACGACGATGACGACGATGATTTATTAGAATTATTAGTTATTCTATCCTTACGACCATTTCCACTTTGACTATGTTCATTTAAACCATTTTGACCATTTTGACTATTCGGTCCATTTCCGTTAGTATAATTGATATAATGATTATGATTATTGTTATTAAGTTTCTGCGGTGATCGAGGTAATGATCCATAACCATATTTGTCGCCTATTCTTCAATGCCGATTTTATGGAATTACAAAAGATCCAGAAACTCACAAATATATGATGATATTCGAATATCTAACAGGTGGAAATCTTAGAAATTATTTGAATGAGATTTCTAATAATATTAGTTGGTATGATAAATTTTATAATTTAAGAAATTTAGCAGTAACTTTTACAGAAATTCATAAATTAAATATAATTCATCAGGAAATATTTTATTATATAATTTTAAAAAAGATCATAATTTATATAATTTCGGATTTTGGGTTTAAGCAGATTAACTTTGAAAAATGTTGAAAATCTTCAAAAGAGAAATGTTTTGGAGTATTAACCTATATAGCTCCTGAAGTATTAAATGGTAATGAGGAATATAAAAAGGCTGCTGATGTTTATTCATTGCTTACGAAATAGTCACTGGTATACTGCCATATCCTGATGTGGCACATGATTCGATCTGGCTTTGAAATATGCGATGTTAGGATGCTCGAGAGACCCATCGATCCACTTTTGAAGAATTATATAGAGTTGGGCAAATACTTTGATGATTATTCGAACCGTACTGGTGTAATTACAATTTAGATTAAAGCTGAATGTTCTAAAAATCAAGAAACAATTGATACGACTATTGTAACTTCACTTAATTGCAAAACACACTCACAAGCGATTTATAATAATAGACTTCTCAATGTTTAAATCTTTCAAAACCTAAAACAAATCAAATTTTGAAGAACTTAAAAAACTAACAGAATCTTTTTCTCAAATAATTACTCGTAAGTATAAATTATATATATTTTATTTATTCATTTTTCATAATTAATTATCTTCATCTAAATTAAAATAAAATGATTAATAAAATTATGATATTGAAAATTTTTAAATTATAACTAGCCATTTATTTTTTTTTCACATAAATAAGATTGAAATTGACAATAGGTAAATTTATTTTTATAATGATTACCGAAAATGATTTTATAAAAATAAAAATTAATTTTTTTTTTTATATAAAAAATCGCTTATATTTATTTTTAAGCGATAAAAATAGTAAAA